GGTGAGAAGGTGGTAGAGGAGGATGCTGCACGGCTCCCAGGATGGGATGCTCAGGGTGGGAGGAAAACCCCCTTCACTTCCTGGACCAAGAGGGAGAACGTGGGAATGTGACCAACCTAAGCACAGGGCTCCAGGAGGCTGTGGACTGAGGAGAGGGCCAGGATGGGTGACTGTCCAGGGAGAGAAGGCACAGGTGCCGGGCTTGGCTTGCTCTGGAGGCAGTGGAGGCAGCAGCAGGGCCCCTCATCCTGCAACTGGGAAAGGACGGAGATGGAAGGGAGCTGGGGGCTTAGCTTGAGTTCTAGCTTCTGCACAGGCCTGTGGTGACTTCCACTGCGCCTGCACTGGGTGGTTATTGGTTCCAAGCCACAGAGGGAAGGCTGGCAGGCCTGGCTGGGCAGGTGCGAGGGGCCCAGAGGTTTGGGGGCAAAGGGCAGGCCAGCCCTGCTGCCTGGCTGTCTTGGACAGGTGGCAGAGCTGCTGGAGACAGGGATTAGGCCCTGGACCTGACGTACCCCTAGGACATATCATTTCCTCACCTACCCTAGGGGTGGGAAATGGCTCTGGGCCGGGGCACTGGGAGGGGCTCTGTCTCACTGGCTGTATGATCTTGGACAGCTCACTCAACCTCTCTGAACCTTGGTTTCCCCATCTGTGGAAAGGTGCCCATCGTAGCACCCAGCTCACAGGGTTGTCCCAAGGATCAAGAATGACTAATGATGATCCACTGAAATCATGAAGCACAGTGGCTGGCGCCCTGGATGTTCGCCAGATCTCATCTACTCATTTATTCCGCATTTACCCCTGCGGCGCGCCGGGCTACCGGCACTGCAGATGCAGAGATAAAAGACTGCAGGGCTGTGTGCGGGGATGTGTCTGGAGACCTGATACTTTGCCCTGGGGCACCTCCTTGGTTTGGCTCCCTATGAGCTCATCTCCTGCCCAGAAGTGGAACACACACAAAAGCAGAGAGTGTAGGACGGCAGATCCTCAAATTCCTAGATCCTCACTTCAGACACGTCACCATGATGTCAGCCTCCTTTCGACAAACCCAGCCCCACCCTATATTGTAGATTATTTGAAAACAAAGCCCGGGCACCGTCTCTCTTCTCCATCAATGCTCCAGTGTCTGATAGACGAGGACACATAGCACACGACCTCAGTGCTGGGATCACATCTAACAAAACGTGAATTCACTCAACTATTTGCCGTATGAGGTCAGATTTCTCCCTGTGTTGGACTAGTGGTTGGGGCTTGGCTTCTCCCACTCATCAGGGGTTCCAAGGGCCCCAGTTCATGATGAGGGACTTGTAGCCTGTGGGGAAGGAGATGGCAGATTTACATGAAGTCCATGGCCTTCTGGACTGGCATTTCCTCCTTCCTAAAAGTCACGCTTGGCTAAGAGGAGTCAGGGAGAGGAGCTACTCTGGGAGCTCCCTACCCCCATGGGACTTCCAGCGGGTTACAGCCATGCATGATTGTGGGTATGTGTTTGTGTGTGCTTGTGTGAGCGTGTGGACATGTGTTAATATGCGCAAGTGTATACAAAGAGGTATGTGAATGTGTGTGTGTGCGTGTGTGTGTGTGTGTGTGTGGCGGGGGCTGATAAGCCCGGGGCCTCTAACATCTCTGGATCAGTGCAGAGGGTTGTTTAGAGGGGACTTTGTGCCTGAGGATAGGCTGTTCCTGGCTGCAGCCAGAGCTCTGGGACAACCGGACACCTGCCTCTGGATGCGGGAGCCCTTCCCCAGCCTATCAAACACCTTCGTCTCAGCTCCTCTTGTCCTTTCCCTTCCCGACACCATGGGGGAGGCGGGCCAGGGAGCAGCCCTGGTGGTGTTTGGATACCCGACCCTGGGTTTCCCAGGCTATGGGGAGCTGGGGTCCAGGTGTCTGCAGGCAGGCAGGGGCCTGACTCCCCACCCAGGTCGCCAAGGGGCCCAGCCCCAGCTCAGGGCACTGGGCCTGGCCCTGAGGATACGCCCACAGTGGTTTGCTGAAGGCCTGAGGGGGCTCATGGAAATCGCTTGGAGTCTCCTGTCAGGATCAGAAACAGCAGAGTGTGGAGGTCAGAGAGTACAGTGGTGGGCATCTGGTCCTCAGTTTCCCCATCTGCCATATTGGCATATTGTTCTCTGCCCTGGGTCTTGCCAGAATTTTAGGAGCACGCACAAGGCTGGAGGGACAGTAGAGACTTGGGCCTGTGGCCGGGGCCCAGGGCAGAAGCCCAATGGCAGCAGGAGGAGAAGCAGCTGTCACAGAGCATCCGCTGCCTAGTGTCCGCTGCAGCTTGCAGTGCGTCCTGATCTCCCCAGCTCACAGGTAGGGACATGGAGGCTCCACATCACGCGTTCCAAGAAGGGGGGTGGCCCTGGGAGCCTTGTCTGGGCCACACAAGGGGACCCTGAGCCCCCAGGAGTTTGGGTGCTGAGTGGGAGAGAGAGGGATGGTTGAGCACCTGTGCCCTTCCTTCCCAGGCCTGGGGCACTGGCGGATCTCCCTTCTGTCTGTCTGAAGGAGGCACGGAGAGGGCTCCTTCACAGGCTGGAGCTGCCTGCCCCTCGAGACCAGCCCCACCCCTGGAGCCCTCACTCCTTGCCCCACCTTTGCAACTCTGGGCACAGCATCCTGCCCAGGGCTTAGCCCCAGCTCTGCCCCTGAAACATCGCACTGGGAAGTGAGAACTCAGAGTTCAAATCCTGCTCTGCTCCCTGCCTGCTGGGTGACCTTAAGCAAGCCGCCACCCCTGGGGCCTCAAGTTGGGGGGGGGAGGGTGCCAGCTTTGAGGGAGGGAGGCAAGGGTGGGCCCAGAGCCGGGCCCTCCTCTCTGGGTCCCCTGACGTCCCTTGCTGCATGGACTCTGCTCTCTCCGCTCTCAGCAGCTGCTGCTGGGTGTGGACATTGAGTCCAACCGGTGGAGGGGGAGCGTATAGCTCAGTGGTAGAGTATGCATGCATACTCTTAGCATGCATAAGGTCCTGGGTTCAACTCCCAGTGCCTCCATTACAAATAAATAAATAAAAACCTAATTACTGGCTCCCCCATCCCCCCCAAAAAACTAAGCCAAATGAGCCAAAAAAAAGTCCAACCGGAAATCCTTCCTGTCCAGGGGAATTACTGGTTTCCACGGCTCTGGGAGATTTCGAAACGCAGGCTGTGTTTGCCTTGGATTTGTTTTCTTTCCACGGAAAGCAAAACAAAACAAACACACGGGTGCGTGCACACGACACACAAGGGCAGATAATCGAAACTTGAAGCCTCAGCCTCAGCACTGTGGGTGCTCAGTGAGTGAGCAAATGAACCAGGTTCTTGGGTTGGAGGCCCTGCTCCCCCTTGGACTTCCTGTGTGCCCTCTGGCCTGAGCCAGAGATCCACAGCTGCTGGCCACCCTCCCACCCAACACCCAGGTGTCTAGTCATGGGCTGGGCCTTGGGTTCACTGGGCCATCTTATCCACACAGTATCCGGCAGAAGCTGAGGCTCAGAGAGGCCAGGCGAACTGCTCAGGGTCACACAGCAAGGGAAGCAGGGCTGACCTGGAAGCCAGTGCTGTGGGGCACAAGGCCACTGAGACAGACCCAGCTCCATGTCCTCAGACCTGTACTGGGGAGAGCCACCCTCAGTGGGCTGTGGGCAGAGAGGCCCTCATGGGGGGTCATCCCCTCCTCCGCCCTCTGCAGGGCTGGGTCCCCTGTCTGCTCACTGCTTGGCTGCGCTGATACCCACCTGTGTTTCCTGCCAGCCATTTCGCTCACCCTGAGGCCAGGCACCTGGAGGTGAATTCTTCTTTTGTGCCAATAAGCAGGAAAGGGCTTGGCAGCTCCCAGGATTCGCTGTGTACCCCAAATAAGACAAGGGGTCTTACTTCCCGAGTCAGGGGCCTCTGTTCCTGCCCCCCACCCCTCCCCCATCTATGGTCCCTGATCCCAAAGACTCACATCTTGATTTCTCAGAGGTTGCGGTCTGGAGGCATGGGCTGGCCCACAGACATATACTTTGGCTATTTAAAAATTTAATAAACTAGTTGGCGAAATTTAAAAATTGGAAAATTTCACTTAACAACCTGGATTTCTAGTCCCTACCTCCCCCTGCCCTGCCACTCCCCGCCCGACCTCAGGCAGTGTATTCTTCAATTGTAGCAAGCTGGAGTGGAGATGGGATGGCCCTCCAGGGAGCCGGCGCCCCAGCCCACCAGCTGCCTCACTGCCATCACCGCAGGTCCCCTAGGCCCACAAGGACCATTTCAAAACCCGGTGCTTCCCAACCTTGCATTTTCTGCTGATCAGGGGCTTTCAGAATCTTAGGACACCCAGGCCAATTTCTCCAGTATCCCTGGGAGTGTGACCAAGGCTCCTATAGGTGATTCTGGTGAGCAGCCAGGTTGAGCCACTGGTCCTGGGCTGCAGGGCTCTGCATGCAGGGGGCTTCTTAAGCCTTGCTTCGCTGTGGCTCCAGGCCCTGTGAGCTGTGGCTTCCCTCAGCCAGAGCCCCACCTTGAGACAGCCCAGCCCGGCCCTTGCTCAGAAGAAGAGCCCTCTGTTCCCTCTCCCAGGGGCTTCCCGGGAGCTGGGACCCTTGCCTTTGTTCACTGTGGGATGCCCAGCGTCTGAGACCCACATCTCTGTCTTGGCAAGAGGGCCAAGTGGGAGCAGCAGTAGCGAGGCCCAGGGCTGCCGTCTCCGAGGAAGATTCACTCCTATATATGGTCACCGGCGTCCCATAGCTGAGCTAGTTGTGACCTCATGTGCTGACAATCTCGCCCAGTCTGGGGCCTTGCTTGGGGAGGGCCCTCACCCCAGAGCGTCCACTTGGGGACAGAGGGGCCAGGAGGAGGCAAGTCACTGGTGTGGAGGTAGGATATGGACAAAGTGTCCCAGGTGCAGGAGAGCAGACTTGGGGCGGCCCCAGGTCCCCCCACCCAGCTTGGCCTCCCACATCTCCAAAAATGTACAGCTTCTCACCGAGGCTCTGTATAAACAAGGAAACCCAGGAGCCTCTCTCGCTTTTTAAAGTCCTTTTAATACAGCATGAAAAGGCTATATTTCTCTAGGCAGGCCGTATACAGATTCTCCAGGAATAAGGCACACGACGGAATGCCATCCCGAGGGCGGCCCTCGGGAGAGGTCGGGAGCCTTCTCCACGCACCCTCCGAGCTGGCCCACGGGTTCTGTTTGTCTTTTTAGCTGAACACAGAGTATTAACAGATACAAACACGGACAGGGTCACCACACTGGAGTGCAGGAGGTCAAACGGTGAGGTTGGCAACAGAGAGCGATGAACTCCTGCAGGCCGAACGCCTCCCAAACTTCAGGGTTAGTTGTTGCACTGGGCTACGATGTAGTGATGCTGGATTAAATATTCATTTAGAGGAGATTCAAGTCCATTAGATGCCGGAGGGCAGGTGTAAGGGCTCTGGGTGACAAATCCAAGTTCAAAGAGCATGGGGCCCCGAGGCATGGCTCAGATGGCAAAGCTCCAAAGCGGGCAGCGTGTAGAAGTCCGCCTCCTGCTGTCTCTTCCCTCCTTGGGCCCTTCTGACCACCGGGAGCCCTGGACCAGGCCGAGGAGGCCATCTTTGGAGCTGACCGACCACGGAGGGGCTAGTCCCACGCGCCCTCCTCCCCGGCTCTCTCCCGCCCCCCACAAGATTAATAACCAAAATAACAAGATAATAATAAGAAGGTGCGAGAGAATGGATTATAATGCTGTGTTATCCTCAGCTGAAGAGGCTCAAAGGGCTCACCATTCCCTTTTTCACTAAGTATCTAATAATAGCTTCCCTTAAAAAAGGCAATACTTTCCAAAATACACATACGTATAAATACAGGACAGGAACATATTAATAAGTCTAAGCACTTGAATAATATGCCGGCTACTTAATACTGATATTTTCATCCAAGGGAAACAACAGAAAATAACAATAATATGGCTTAAAGGATTGCAAAGATTTTTTTTCCTCATCAGAATTATGTACCAACTTCATATAATATTCTATGTAGACAATATTTCCTTCTTCATGTAATTCAGTTGCAGACTTTTTACAGACCAAAGCATAGTAAAAAATCAAACCAAAAAAAAAAAAAGGAAAAAGTTCTCACCATAAATATTTTCTTGCAGCTCAAACAGAAGATTTGTAAAATGCTTCCAGAAATCTTCGTTTGATATTCTATTGCCCTCCTGAAAGCTCTGAAATTTTGAAAATGCCTCTCTTTCTGTGTATTTTTTAACGTCAAAAATCAAGCAATTGTATTTTTCTTTTCTTTTTCTTTTTCTTTTTTTTTAAAAAGGCCCTCAAATATATACAAACAAAAATCACTCTGAAGATTTTTCGGGAGAAGGTAACAAATTCAGTGTTGTGAGAAAAATTGGAAACCATGCAGAAATTTTAACATCCATGAATTTTCTTTTCAAAATACACACATAGTATTTTTCTTTAAAAAAAAAAAAGGAATTCTGTGTCAAGTATAACTCAAAATAAATACAAATTCACACGTAGAACTATCGAATACTTCATATGGGGTAAACACCATGACCTCCCAGCTAGATCGCTAGATCTACTAACTGCAAGCGATTGTCCCTTTTGAATGTACTAAAACCACACACTTTCTTGTCTCTCGGGCTCCCAGGCCCTCTGAGCACTTAATTCTCACAGCACGGGTCTGGACAGCAGTGGCTTTCGCTGACCACGGAGAGCTCCCAAATTCAGCCAGAAAGGTGCAGGGAGGGGCAGTGCAGAAGGGCCGCTCAGGCAGGAGGGCCCAGCCCCGGCTTTGCACAGATGGCAGGGGCACTGGCTGCCAGCTGGACAAGCCCACTGCAAAGGTCACTTTGGGGTGACATTCCTTCTCCTGTTGGCCTGTGGAAGGCCCTGACCTCCAGGGGGTCTGGAGCCTGAGTTCTTTCTAGGGTGTGGACTTCCCCCATGACTACAGCCCACGCACCCAAGGCTGAGGTCCCCCTGTGGGGCCGGGTCCCTAGAAGGCCCGGGGCCTGGTCCTTGCTACGGAGACCAGCGCACGGCCCACCGCTGTGAACATTGTCGCAGGTTGTCGCAGGGTGCTAGGATGACTGACAGTAACAGCTTCTCCTCCAGGCCAGGGAGCCCCGGGCCAGAGTGGCTCCAGCTCACCTTGACAACATGGTGGGGCAGGGAGCAGCTGGGGGGGATTCCTCAGTGGGCGGTGAGCATGTTCACAGTCGGGGGCGGGCATCTGCCCCTGCGGGCTAGAGGGAGGCAGCTGCAGGGCTCAGGCTGGAGCAAAGACTCCCCTTCTTAAGTGCTCAGAGGGCAAGGCCCCCCCCAAATCTACCCTGCAGCCCTCTGGCTGCAAATACTCTCACTCCGTCTCTTCACCTCACTCCCTGGACCCCTAATTAACACTTTGCTGTAACTCCTCAGTTGTACAAAGCATTTTCATTTGAAAACAAGAGGCGACTGGACACGGGTTGGGTGTCCGTGGTAAACACTGAATTTCAGGCCCCTTTCGTGGTCTGATTTTTTTTTCCCACAGAGGCATAATGTTGGAGCAACGTCAAGTGACCCAGCCCTGACAGCCGGTTCCCCTGGGAGAAAAGAAGGATAATATGACAATAAAAACAGGGCTTCTCACTGGGGAGGGAGCAGAGAGGAGGGAGATCCCTCCCGCTAGCAAGGACAGCGCCGCCCTGGCCAATGAGAGCGCCAAGAGGCCTCCCCGCCCCACGGGAGGTAGGAATCATCACCCCCACTTCGCAAACGAGAGGTTCTGTAGCTTGTCTTGGGGTCGCCTGTGTGAGGAGGAGGGAGACCCTTCTCCTTCACGTTTGCAGGGTGGGGGACAATAGGCAGGGCTGGGGCTGCAGGGGGGTGACAGGGGAGGACCGGCATCCCCTCTGCATGATTTCTTAAGTGACCGATTGACGAGTGATAGTGCAGGAGACCAGACCCGGGGAAACTCTCCAAGTAAAGCTCTCTGCTCCAGGAGATGGCACCCAGCCAGGTCGCATCCCAGAACATCAGAAGAGAAACGGGCCTCTCGGCTCTCTGGTGTCTGTCACTTAACTAGTGGGGAAACGGAGGCCCAGCGGTGAGAATCCCACCCAAGGTTCTGTAGTGTGTCACAGGCAGGGCCAGCATCAAAACCTGCATGTTCGGGCTGCCAGGCCTATGTCTTCCCTGCTGGGCCCTACAGCTTCCTTGGGGGCGGCCCCCCAGTGTGGGTGGGAAGGGAAAGAGAAGGAAAGGGAAGGGAATGGGGATGACAAAATCCAAGCAAGCGGGAAAGGATGTGGTGGGGGAGGAGGGAGGCGTGCCTGACGTGTCCCAGGTCACACCTTGGGAACACTGTCCAACATTCAGTGCCTCCCTGTCCCTGACCTCTGGGTCTATGGGGGGTGGGGGGGTTGTGCAATGCCAGTGACGTCGGAGACTGTCAGGTTTGGGGCTCAAAGTGGCAGGGGGCAGAGATGCCCACTCCCCAGCAGCTGTTAGAACAGGTGTCAGCTCGCCATGAGTGCTGACTTAGAAAACAAGGGCTTTGCAAGAGTGGCTTTTCACATGGGGCAGACTGGAAGGTTCTGGGGAGGAGAAGGCGGCCTGGCTGGCCTCGGGGAGATAATCCCCTGGAGGCTTTGGGATTCACAGTAAATTTAGTGCACTTGTGGCCAAAACAAGGCTGCTCACCCCAAAGGGAGTCTCAGAGGAGAGTCTGCGGGGGATACCAGGCCTCTGTGGGTCTTTTGCGCTGGCCTCTGCTCTCCCCGTCCCCCCCGCCACAGACCCAGGCCCCCTGGACAAGAGTCCCGGAGACACAGCCCCCTCTGGGGGCAGCTACGTCAGTAACACTTTGTCAACATACATGAGCCGAGGCCCTAAGACCACCCTCCCTAGACCTGTAAGCCTGCGAGGATGCCCCCACGGGCGCACGCGGGGACACGCAGGGGAGGCGGTGCCTTCTGGGCTGGCAGGAGGGCTGCGGTGGCGGGGGAGCCGCGGGCGCCGGGTCACTGCACTCGCCGGCAGTAGTAGCCGAGCACCTTGCACTTCTCACAGAGGTGCTGGGGGTGCTCCTTGCTCTGGTCGGACACGTCCAGGCCATCGGGCTTCTCCAGGGGTCTCTACAGAGAGGAAGGAGAAAGAGGGCCCAAGGGCGGGGAGGGCGGGGTAGAGAGGAAGACAGAAACACAAAGAGAGGCAGGGAGAGTGAGACAGATGCAGAGAGAGGCACAGAGAGACAGACAGACAGACAGACAGGAGGAGGGAGGCAGATACACAAGGTGGGCCCAGAGAGAGCAAGTGTGCCTGTAGTCACAGAGGTTGTTCCCAAAGCGCCCAGGACCCTTCCCGCCTCTCGTCTGCCGCAGGCAACTTATGTCCCAGGAGGCACAGGCTGAGGCCTTGGGCTGGGGCTGGGGCTGTAGGAGGGCGTCTTGTACCCAGAGCCCAAGGTCCAGATCCCACTTTGCCTTTCCCTGTCCGCTGAGCAGCCACTGCCTGAAGCCCACAGAGGTCAGGACAGATGGGCAGATATTATCCAGATGAGGAAACTGAGGCCCAGCACCAGGGAGCCCCAGGCCACATCTCCTGACTCCTGGCACGCACTGCTTCTTCCCAGACCACTTGTCACCCCCAAACTTGCTCCCACGGCCTCAAGACTCAAGGAGTGTAACCTGGACCCAGCCACGGTGTTTCAGGCTTGGGGTAAAGCCAGCTCTTAGCCCTCTGAGGTCAGCAGCCAGTGTTCTGATCGGTCCCTCAGCCCTGGGCCTGGCACGGTGCCTGTCCCGTTTGTTGAGCAGCTAGGTGTTTTTTTAACAGAGAAACTGAGGCCCAGAGAAAGGAGGTGACTTGCCAGACCCACGATGCTATTCAGCCACAGTGTGGCTTCACAGAGCCTCGGTTTCCACATCTGTAAAGTGGGCTGTTGCAGCAGCTTGTTTATAGGGAGGAGTCAGATGTCTAGATGTTTGTAAACTGAGCAGTGTTGGGCACACAAGCACATTTCTGTTACACAGGAGGCTTCCCTGCTCCCTCTGTCCCTCCAATCCTGGCTCTCAAAAGCCAGTAAAGACTCATTTCTCTGGAAAATGTACGGAGGCTAGTAGGCACACCTCCTGAGGCAGACAGTTTCTTGGCTGGCAGCTGGAGCGCCTGCCCAGAACCCCTCCCTGCAGCAGGTCCCCTGCACGGACCGGGGGAAACTCAAAGGAAGCTGGTCAGGGCCAGCTGGGAGCCACATGCTGAGGACAGGGGGCAGGAACTGCAGGTGCCAGTGGGCCTTGGTGCCAGTGACCAGGACCCAGGATGGTCCTGGAAGGAAGGTGAGCATGAGCTCTCCCCACTCCCCCCACCCCACCCCCCAGGAAAGGCTGCAAACTGCTCAAAAGCAGCACACTTGGCTTTTCCGCCCAAGTACGCAGTACCTGGTCTGAAGCTGACACTCAGAGCAGGTGCGGAATGGACAAGTCAGAGTGTGCTGACTGTGGGTGGGCAGGGTTCTGATCCAGGGTCTTAAAGCCCATCCCTATGCTTCCAGGCCCAAAGCCACACTGGGAGGATCTCAAGAAAAGGGCAGGGGCCTTGGCCTCATCTCAAGAAGCTTTCAGATGACTGGCTTTCCTGGTCAGGGGAGAGGAGGAAAAGTTTGCCTTCGTGTCAGACCCAGGCTCAAACTATCTGTGAGCTGTGTGACCTTGGACAAGCCACCTCACCCCTCTGATCCTCCACTTCTTCATCTGTAAAAGGGAGTGTTGATAACACTTTTCTCATGAGATTGTTACAATGCAAGGAAGATCACAAGTAGAAAGGGCATAGCACAGAAAAGTTATTCATGCTGTTTATTATTATTAATATTAGGAGGGGAAACCAGCTGGTAGAGGGTCACTAAAAGTTGAAGCCCTGATTCCAAGTTGGATGGCCTGGGAAGGTCACATCCCCTGCTCTCCAGGCATCCTGATGGACACCTATGGAATCCCGCGGGCACCACCTACAAGCCTGGCGGCTGGGGAGCTCCCTGCTGGCTCAGCTCACTGCCTGCCCTGTAAGAGATGCTTCCTGATCTTGGGCTGAACTCTGGGTCCCCAACCCCCATCCATGGTCCAGCCACGCATGGGCCATGCAGACTCTCTGCTCACCCACAAAAGGTCCGATGTGGACGGCTCTGATGTCTCCCCTCTCCCAGACTAAACCCAGCCTGGTTTCCAGCTCCTCTCCCCAGCTCTTCATGCTGGACCAGGCCCCTCCCTGAACCCGCCTTCCACCCTTGCTCCCCATGGTGTACACTTTGCAAAGCGCTGCCACATCATCTTACCACCTAACCTCACAGCCTTCCAGTGAGGGACATATTATTATCCTCATACATTACAGATGAGGAAACCAAGGCTCTAAGACATTAAGGGAGTTGCCAGTGACCTGCAGCTTGACCTGTCTGCCAAGGGCTCCTGGGCAAGAATTTTCTCCTCTAGAACCTTAACTTGCCCTTCTGTAACCTGGGCAAGAGGTTAATAACAGTTGCTGTACGTGTGACAGGGAGAGAAGTAAGTGAGATGACTGACTTAAGGTACTTTCTAACCATAAAGAGCTCTGCAAGATTTCATAATTGCTGTGTGACCTCTTGGCAGTCACTTAACCTCTCTGTGCCTCAACTGTTCTCCTCTATACAGTGGGCTAATCAGAGTACCTACTTGATGCGTTTGCTGTGAAGAGTAAATAAATAAGCTAATAAAAGCAAAGTTATTAGAACAGTGCCTGGCACATAAAGAGCAAAGTGTTTTGGTCAGTTTAATATCATGTATTATTACTATTATTACTATTATGTAGAGAGGGCAGGCTGGGAGCAGGGTGAATCAGCTGAGTCCCTGTGGAAATGCCCTTGCAGTATCCTGGCCATCCCCTTTCCTTGGCTGTGACCCTCTCAGTGCCCCTTCCCTCCACTGGTCCTGGCTGAGCCCTGCCCAGGCGCTGGGTGGAGGAACTGGGGAAGCTGTCAAGGCGCCTTCCCTCTGCGGAGGGAAAACATTCAGCAGCTGGGATTGATCACCCCAGGGCCATCCCCACCCCCTGCAGTGAGGCAAAGCCCATTCGTGTTTTCTTCTCATGGGGGGCAGGGCCGGCAGGGGGCAGCCGCAGCTGGAGCCTGACGGGAAACAGATGTGGAGGGGAGGGAGGCGGGGTCGGTGGAGGGTTCTCAGGAGGGGGATGCTGTGCGGGTCAGAGCTCAGGGGCAGGAGAAATAAAGCAGCCCCTCTCCACTGTGGGGGGTGGGAGAGTTCAGGGGGACAGCAGACACTCCAAGCCCCTCCTCTTAGCTCTTCAAAGGCTCCTGACTGCTGGAGGGTCTGGCAGGGCCACCAGCCCCTCAGCCCTCTGCCCAGCTTGCCACTTCCCTGAGGGAGCAAGGCCCTGTAGGGGGCAGGGCAGGGGGAGACCTGGGTCCCAGACCCCCTTGACGCTGGCTGGCTGCTCAAGTCCCATCTCCTCTCTGGGCCTCAGTCTCCCCATTGCACACAGTAGGTGCTCGACAAACAAGGGCTGAATGACTGGGAGGGGGAAGAGCAGAGCCACATGCTCTTGGAAGACTCTTCCACATTGGGCCTAGGAGACTCCAACCTGAGTGAGGAGGGGAGGTGATGGTCGGGGAGGCTGTGGTTGGACTGAGCTTTGCAGGATGGAGACGATGAAGCAGGTAAGAGCATTGCCGGCCTGGGGGATGGCGGGTCCAGCCAGGAATGAGCATGGCATCTGGAAGGGGTGCTAGGCAATACGGGGAGTTGGGTCCCAGTGGACTTGGGTGCATGGCCTGGGCCCTGCCTCTCTGCTGAGGTCACAGAGGTGTGAGAGTCATAAGGACTGAGCCTCCCAGACCCCCCTAGCACAGAACCAAGCACTGTCCGTCTGAGCCTCTGCAGGAACTAGCCCATTCCTGACTCCCCTCCCCAGCCAGCCACCCTGACCTGACCTCACTGCTCCCTACCTTCCCCCGGGGCTGATCATCTGCCCCCTCCAGGCTCTGTGTTCTCCTCCAGCCCCAAACTTGATCGCTCTTCATGGATCCCAGCTTCTCTACTGAACTTGGGTGATTCATTTATTCCCTTTGCCTCAGTTTCCTCCTCTGTAAAATGGGGAGACGAGGGAGCTGACCTCCTGGGGTGGCTGAGAGGACAAAGGTGTAACACAGGAGCACACTGCTGTCCTAATTTTCCCAATTCCTGCCCTCTCCAGTGCAGACCCCCCCTGCAGTCCAGCCTCCTCTCTCCTGCACTGGGAGCCCAGCCAAGTTTTTTGCTTTGCCCTACTCAGTACAGGAGGGCAGAGCTGGGACATAGACAGAGGCCTGCCTGGCCTCAGGGCAGGGCTCCAAACACAGGTGCAAATTCACCCCGAGGCACCACCTCTATGTGTCTTCTCAGGACTGCACATTCTCTCCCTGTGAAGTGGGATGAACAGGACGCCCAGTCTGAGGGCCGAGCACACGGGAGAAGCGTGCGGGGGCTCAGCAAACAGCACCTAGAGGGTGATCACGGCTGTGACTGGGGCCAAGAGTTCTCTGAATGCCAGTTGCTAACCCTGTCTGATGGAATCCTGACCCTTGGGCTGGAGAGGAAGCTCCTGGAAGGCCTGGCATCCCCTGATCTTCTTATTCCTTCAGTGCCTGCACAGACCTGGCGAGCAGCCCTCAAAGAAGTTGTCTAGGGAAAGAAGGAACCTCTCTGCACAGCACAGGCCACACCCAAGGGCCCTGGGAGAGCACAGTTCAACACAGGGGCGAATGTGCTGATGGTCAGACATCTGGGGAGGTGTATTTGGACTCGGGGTCCACACCTGCTCAGGAATTGCCCAGAGACTTCAGGAACCAGGATGCGGTGTCTCCTTACGCTGCCCACCTTTGGCCCCATCCCCGGATGTGCTCCTAAAATACCAGGTGCATGTCACGTGCCCTGTGCCCATTGGGTCATCAAGCCTAGCCTGGCACTCCGGGGCCTCGGTGTGTCCCTCAGTGCCATTAGGTGGTGGGTCAGGCCCCTCCACTAAGGGACCCCTCATCCACTGGGCTGCAGGGCCAGCTTCCCGTCTCTTTGCCTGCATGTGACAGTGTGGGTGATGGGAACCATGGAAACCCTTGGGGATGGGAGGATGGAGAGTCTACAAACAGAGGGAATGGAGACTTGCACAAGGGTCATAAAATCACAGAATGTGTCAACCCTGAGAGTCCTCTCGGACAGCTCCCAGATGCTCCAAAGACCAAATTCCATGCCATGGCGGCCAAGCTGGCCTCTCCCTCTGCACTCTGCTCCACCCTTCAGCTCCTCCAATGCTCTGTGCCCAGCCCTGTCCTCTCCACTTTACACATGCTGTTCCCTTACCAGAAGTGCAGCCTCCCCTCTCTGCCACTCCCACTCCACTGCCCCATCAGAGCTCAGCCTGACATCACTGTCCCAGGGGAGCCTCCCCAACTCTCCTGCCTCCATTGCCTTGTGGCCTCCTCTGCTCCCTGTTCCTGCCATCCTTCTCGGTGACTCAGCTTACCCATCCCCACCCCCGACTTCTCATTGCCCCGACTCCCTCACCAACAGTGAACTCTCCCACCGCCCCCTCAGCCACACCATGGACTTGGTCTTCAGAAACCTGCTCTCTGTCCAGTTCTTGGCTCCCACACTCCACCCAGTCCTGGCCCCATCTCTCCATCAGGGCCGCTCTGGCTTCCCCTTCCCTGCCATCTAGCTGACACCCCCAGGCCATGCTTTTACAGCATCACACTTTTCCAAATATGCCCAATCATTTGACCTTCTTCCCTGTGAGACGCCCTCCCGGCACACGTCTGGCCCCGCACCCCTGCGTGCCGCCGATTTCGAAGCTCCCTGGGCTGCAGATGCAGCTTGCCAGTCTGGTTACATTTCTCGGATAGACTCGCTTCCTCATTCGTCCTTCCCCAAGCCCACCACACCCCTCTTCACCCTTACTTTTAGCTGAAAACCTCATCTTCCATTTCTCTGAGAAAACAGAAGCCTTGGAAGTGAAGTCCCCCTTCTCTGCACCATCAAACCCATGACCCTCCCCAGTCACCCTCCACCTCCCTCCCTCCCTCCCTCCCTGTACCAGCAGCCTTTTGCTTTCTTCTGGGTCAGTCTCGTTTGCTTACAATATGCTCCAGGCTCTCCCATCTTCTTAACACCCATCTTGACCCCACCACCCCTACTCCAGCTGCTGTCCCACTTCTCTGCTTCTCTCTACAAGCAACGTCCAAGAGGGACAGTGAAGGTGTTCCCCCTGCCACCATGGCTCCATGGACACCACCCTGGTCAACAGATCCTCCGTGAGTCAACATCTCCACTCCACCTTACCCCCGACCTGCAGGACATTGGCTCCAGTGGTTCTCCAACCTTGGCTGCAGCTCAACAGGTCCTCCAGGTAAAAGTGAGTCCCCCCCCCCCTCAAAGTTGCAGGACCATGTCCTTATTGCCAAACCTCAGGGGCACTTCTTGTCATCATACCTGACATCTCAATACCAGCCACCACCCGTGCCCTGGAATGGCGCCCTCCCCCCTCCCTGCGCCCCTGCCCCTCCTTACTGGAAGCGTCTCCTCCATCTGACCTCTGAATGCTGGGATTCCACAGCACGTGGTGTGGGGAATCCCGTCTCCACTTTGTCCTCATTCTGCAGGAAATCTCCTCATTCCCTAAATACCTTCAGGCCAGTGGTACCCAGTTACATGTGAACCACCTTGACGTCTCACGTGAGCTTCAGAACAGCAACCCCAACTGCCTGCTTGACATCCCGACCTGGATTTTTGGAAACATCTCAAACGTAATGTGTATCAGAGGCCTCTTGCTTTTATCTAGAACATCTGTGTCCGACCCCAACTGCCCCCGGCTGCCCACCTCGGCAACAACCACCTGCACCCGCTCAGGAGCTCAAGCCACCATGTGGCTGTTCTCCCGGGTTCCTGCCCTCCTCTCCTCACCTTCCACATCCAGTCCGGTGATGCTCTGGGTGGGACCCAGGTCCAGAGCCACTGCCTCAGGGACTAGGGCCATGGCTTTCCCAATGGTCTCCCCATGTCTCCCAGCCCCCTCCCCAGACCAGTCTCTACACACAACCACAGTAATCATCTCAGAGTGAAGCTGAAAGTCCTGTTGCTTAGGGTTTCCCCTTGTGAAGGCCCCAGCACTCCTCTGGTGATCACCCCGTTTAGCTCCCCAGTTTCTCCCACTCTACTCCCCTGCTCCTTCACTGAGCTTTGGGCCTCATGCACCCCAAGTCCTACAGCCTCAGGGCATTTGCACCTGCTGCACCCTCTTCTCAGGATGGCCATCCCCGCTCTTGTGACAGGTCTAGCTTCTTTCCCTCCTTCAGGTCCCAGAGTAAATGCCGCCTCCTCTCTGCAGCCTGTGGCAAGTGGGTCCTCCCTGGGATGAGCCGCCTCGGCCAACCCCGGCAGGGCAGGCGGGCCCTCGGCCGCTGGCCCTGTGGCGCAGCGCCTGGCCCACAGTGACCGCCCTGCACGCATGAGCCAACTGTGCGAATGAACAAACGAAACTTCCCGCTGCCCTCGCGTCCCCCTCTGTGTCACAGTCGCACCCCTAGGTCGTCACTTTCAAAATCCACTGGGGTCTGTGGTCTCATGGTCTCCATACAGTTGCCCCTTTATCCTCCTTCCCTTCCCAGGGAAACGGGCCCTCTCGTCCCCATTTCCATTGAGACGACGAAAGAAAGGGCTAAGGTGGACACATCTAGTCCCATCCCCTGTGAAGGAAGGAGCAAACCGAGGCTCCTGAAGGGAAGGCTGCCACCCCCCCCACCCCCGCCCTTCAGAGACGCCGCCCCGCTGCGCGCTCAGCGCTGCGCTCCCGGCTCACCTGCTTGTGCGGGTACACGTTGATGTGGCACTTGATGCACTCCTGCCCCATGTTGGCCCAGGAGTTCCCGCTCATCCATTTTCTCTTGCACTTGGGACACTTGTACTCGCCGAAGCAGCGCTTTTTGCCCTGGTATGGGGTCAGACCCTCGCCTTTGGGGCGTGCCTAGAGGACGGAAAGCAAACACAAGGGACTGGGGCCCACCAGGCCAAAATGATGCCCCACAGGGTCCCCAGGGTCGCCCCCTTCAGCCTTCATACCCTGTGTCCTCGTGTGCAGACACCTTTGGTCTCCTGTACGGAGAACACCAGGGCCTCCCCGAGAGCACACACGGAATCCCAAGTCTGGGAGACTCCCAAGGGGACAGAAGACAGAGGAGGTGATGGAGGGTGCACATCTTCTTAGATTTAAGGGAGCAAAGTACTCGATGGGTCTGGAATTACTCCTGTAACGCAGACGTCATGAAGGAGCAGCTGGTGGTCACATGACCTGCACACAGGCGCTCTCAGGAGCAGCTTGCCTGCAGCGCAGGCAGAAAGCAACCTTGTATGCAGTGGAAGTGTGTCTCCCCACCCTCACCCCTGCTGCCCTGCCTGGCAGCAGTTTTAATTCCCTTTAGACCGTCCCCAAAGATGGGCTTTCCATTTACAAACATGTGTAACAGAGACCTGCGTACATGCACCCTTTCTTTTCCCTCACTCGTATGGAGACAGATTATACACTTGGTTCTACATCTTCCCTTTTTCACTTATTAATCTATCTCAGAGATACAGATATAGACAGATAGATAGGTAGATAGACAGACAGACAGACAGACAGATAGGTGATAGATAGATATGGTCTTTTGCCCAGATGAGTACAATCAGAGCTACTGCATTGTGTTTAAGGGTTGCACAATATTCAAGTCCATGCAAGTTCCATAGTGTTTTCCCATCACTACTGCACAATGTCTAGATTATTTCTACTCTTGTATTGCAAGCAATGCTACAGTGAATAACTCTGCATTTATATGTCTGCGTGTATGTATATAATTTTGCACGTGTGAGAGTACGTTTGCCAAATAAATTCCTAGAAGTGAAATTGCTAGGTCAATGATACGTACCCTTTTCATTTTTAAAGATGATAATTGCCACTCCCCACCTCCCCCCACCACAGCTGCAGGTGTGCCAACTTAATGACCCATCTCCTCACCAAGAGTGTTCTCATTATTGCCAATCTAAGAGGTAGAAAGTCTCAGAGTAGCTTTGACTTACATGTCTTGTATTAGGAGCAAGAGGGAATTTTTGCATTTAGGAATCATTTGTGTTTCCTTTGTGAACTGTGAGTTCGTATCCTTTGTGATTTTTTTTTCCTGCTGAGTTTGGCATTTTTCTTGTTGATTTGTGACTGCACTTTATGTATTAAAGAAACTAGTTCTCTCCTACATGTTTTTTCTTTAAAGCTTTATTGAGATATGATTCACATACTCTACATTTCCCCTGTGCAAGGTGTACAGTTCAGTGGGTTTTAGCATATTCATAGTTATACAGCCACCACTACATCCAATTTTAGAAAATTTTCTGTTACATCCCCAAAGAAACCTTGTATTCATTAACAGTCACTCGCCATCCCCCAGCCACCTCCTCACCCCATCCAGATCCAGGCAACCACTAATCTACTTTCCATCTCTGTAGATTTTTATATTGTAGACATTTCATGTAAGTAGATCATATAAAAATTGTCCTCTTGCGTCTGGCTTCTTTTACTTAGTGTAATGTTTTTAAGGTCCATCCACGTTGCAGCGTGCATCAGGACTTCATTCCTTTTTGGTGCCAAATAATACTCCATTGTACGGTCATGCCATACTTTATTTACTCATTCATCAGAGACATTTGGGTTGGTAATTTGGGGCTACTATGAATAATGCTGCTATGAACATTCATGTATAAGCTGCCTAGTATTTTATATAGTTGAATTCATTGCCCCATTTTTTTGAAAATGAGAGATTTCACATAGAAACATGACCACATTGGTCCAGAATTCTTGCTCAGCTGAGGTTAAGGAGTGGCTGCCCCATCAGACTGACTGAAGGTACCCTCCACACCACCTGTGTCTCGACCAGCCGCGCCCTGCATTTATGTCACCTCCTTGGCACTTACAGCCTTTGCGGTTAAGGCAGGCCCTACACTGTGACTGGCAAAGTGTGGTTCCTGGACTGGCCTCACGGCATTGCCTGGGAGCTTGTTAGAAATGCAGAATCTCAGGGCCCACCTTAGAGCTACTGAATCAGAATCTGCATTTTAACAGGAGCCCCAGGGAATGCACACGTCACTCAGTTTAAGAAGCAGTGGGCTATGAGATGATCTGTTTGCACAGTCATGTGTCCCTGGGCATTTGCGCATTTCTGAAGTGGTGCAGGAAGGTCAAGAGTGACCTACCGTAAGAGACTGTCTGAGAATTAAACGAGATAATACAGGCAAAGCACTTAGAACAATGCCTGGCACAGAAAAGTAAAACAGGAGTGTGAGTTATTACCATTTACTAATACAGAACAATAGCGGTATGTAGAATCATCATGTCTTCCTTCAGTAACCACCTTTCTTGCCCAGGCGCCGTTACCACCACTTGGTGGCAGCCTACTAGAATTACAGGCAAAACCCTAGAAAGGGACATACGTGCTGAATGTGTAAATCTAAACTTAGAAAGCGACAACAACACTGCCCTGATCTTTTGGGCCCGATGCCTAACGGCTTTTGGATCCTGACTGGCCTTCCTGGCAGCCGTGATGTCCCAGGGAGAGAGTCAGCCCGAGCGCCGAGTCAAGGCTGGCTGTCAGCACTGGTCAGGTCTACGAGAGAGGCTGGTGATGCCAAGGGGCGCACTCAGCATGCAGTCAGGGCCGGGGTCCAGTCAGTTGGCAGTAGAGAGGCCAGCCGGTGACTCCGAAGGCACTTTGAGTTGTGTCAAGTTAATGGGTGTGCAGTGAGCCCTCCAGCTGTTTCTGGTGGCAGGTTGTCTACCTGATGCTGGGAACCTACAACTTCCACAGCCTCCCTTCTCCAGTAATCCTGAAAAAAAGTGCTAGATAAACGCATTCTTCTGGTCCCTGTTTTTAAAGGCATCTACATTTTAAAGGGGGACGAGGGAGAGGCATGGGGTGCCTCACTGATGATAGGATCTGAGACTCCTTGATTGAAGTGGGAATGTGGGGGCCATGAGCAGCCAGGCCCACTCCAGGATCTGGTTCTGCAGGCCTCTTGGTTCAGACACTGATGGAACCTGGCACCTGGCTTCATGCAGCTGGGATGAGGGGCAGGGGTCAGGGCATCAGAGAGAGGGCTCGAGGCATCCCAGGGGCACTCAGCCAAGAGAAGGGTGAAGATTGGGGCAGGACTGATGATTCGGTTCCCAAAGAGTCTCTGCTTCAGAAATGAGCGGGAAGGAAAGCCACACAGATTAAAAAAAAAAAAAAAAAAAAAAAAAAAAGAGTGTGTGCCCCAAACGGAGAAGCAGGTAGATGAGAGAAGAGCAAGGAGGTGAGTTGGGAAGCACCCTCACACTGTGGAATTAGAAAACTCGCCATTCTAGAGCCTTCCATCGGGGACTGTGAGCTGCTGGGCAGGGTCCAGGGACAGGCGCTCCAGTCTCCTCCAGGACCAAACATCTTTAGTACACCATTTGCACACTGAAGTCAGGCCAGGCACTGTGAGGGCCCAGACCCCACCACACGAGACCCGGCTCAGATCCTGGACTTCAGGACCAGATGCCTGGGATCGCATTCCGCCTCTGCCTGTGACTATCTGAGAAACCTTCAGCAGTTACACAGCCTCTCTGTGCCTTGCTTTCTGCAACGAGAAACCCGGGATGATGACGCAGGGCCAGCCTTCCCGGGGCGGTCAAAGGGACGCGATGCATTCGTGCACAGGAAGGTCTTAGGTCCGCGGCTGGTCACTGTAAGTGCTCAGTGACCACTAGCGATTTCAGGAGGATTCTCTTCTGGGGCTTGTGCACGGAGAGGGAGCAGGTGTGCACAAGGTGATGCAGAGGCCACGGCTGAGACCAGTGGGCATAACTTGTAAGAGGAACATCTCAAAGATGGGAGGAAGGCCTGGCACTGGCGGTGGGGGCTCACCACCCCTGGGTTGTGGGGGAGGTGGCGAGCAAAAGAATAACATCAGCAGGTGTCTTCACCTTCTGGAATCCTCAGGGAGGGACCAGGAAAGGTAGAGGAAGGCTGTGGAAGCCCTGGGGATGCAGACGGCAGAGGACAAAGGGAGGAGTGAAGAGAACAGACTTTTATCAAGCACTCCTTGTGTTCTAGGCTTTGTGCTCAGGGCTCCACCACCTGTTAGGCCCCCATTCAACTCTTCCCATTACCCTGTGGGGCAGGGAATATCATCAACCCACTTAATAGATGGTGAGACTGAAGTACAGGGAAGGGAAGGACTTGCCGAAGAGTTTCCAGTATGTGAGGGGCAGGAGGCCGGCCCAGCAGGCTTCCCCGTGAGGCTACACTAGGCTCGCCCTCTCTGTCTGTCACCCTTAAGTGTTGAGGGTGAAGTTGAGGCTTCTGCTCAGAAGGAGAAATCCCCCAGACCCCAAGGCTTCCAGCTCAGCCTAGCCCAGTGGCTTTGTCCTTCCGAGGGTCAGAGGGGAGAGAAGGCCCGCAGGGCAGGGGCGGAGAGGCAGTGGATGGGGTCAGGTCGGGGAGGCAGGCCAGCAGGCAGCTCTGGGCAGGGCTCAGCCCCACCGCTGTTATGCTTACAGACAGGGCAGGGCCAAAGGGAGAAGGAATTTTTGACGGAACAAAGGCTTCTCTACCACCCCCACCACCCTGCCAACACCACTTTCCCCCTGCCTCTCCCCCTAGAAAGGCACAGCCTCTTATAAATGTCAGCTTGAAGCAGACAGTGACTGGACGGCTCTGCAGGGGCCACCACCCGCCTCGGCTGGGAAGGAGGCCAGGCCTGACCAGGCTCTCCTGACCTGGGCCTCTGCCACGTACCCCTCTGGGAAATCACATCTGCCAGGAGCCCAGGCAAAGCTCAATGGGGCTCAGAAACCAGCCCTGGTAGCACAGACAGGCCCTCTGGGGATGGAAGAGGCAAGGGGACTTGCTCAGGGACACACAGCAAATCACAGACTGAGCTGGGAGGAGGGTCCTCTGACCTCCAGACCAGGGCTAG